CCTGCCTCAGGCTGCACCTTCTGCAAGGAAGGGGCGAAGAGCCCACGTTCACAGTTCAAGGATGAGATGCGCTTACGTGAGGGGCGAAGAGCCCACCACGTTCACAGTTCAAGGATGAGATGCGCTTACGTGTGTAACCAGGGTTCATGGTACAGCTTTGATTAGGATGTTTGACTTCACCCCGCGAAAGCAGGGAAGTCCATTAAGGAGGGATTATGAAGGATGCCACGGTGGGTCCCACCGAAAAAGCAGGCGTCGGACGTCTGTTACGTTACGGCTCGGTTCTTGAGTCAAGATGGAAGCACTTCACCTAGACCAGGAACCAGAGAGCCTACGAGAACCAAAGGGTGCCAAGGACGATCTCAAAAGTAGAGAAGCACTTCCTGGTGCCTGTGCCCGAGAGAAAAGATCATTCACATGAAGAGCCTTTAAACCCATACGGCCATGGAGTGGGTGTTGCCCAGGCCACCTGGGCCCTAAAACGTGACAAAGTGACCCCAAACAGGGCACAGACGCAGGCGGCGTGCCTGCCAGAACTGAGAGATGACGAAAGGGACAACAGGACCGAGTGTCACATCGGAACGGGCGTCACATCGCAACGGGCTGCGGAGACCTCTCCCTCCGGGCGAGTGCCCCGGGCTCTGGCCTCGACACCAGGAGGACGTGTGGCTACTTCGCACACCTGTCTCCCCAGCCTCGCTGTCTCCTCCCCAGCCCCAAACCCTGTAACCCTCAAACCACTGCCTCCTCACACCTCCTGCCGAATAACGTGCAGTCACGAGACCCAGCCAGCAAGTCCACACACCTGCGGTCGCCTGTCCCGACTCTGCTCCTCCCAAAGCCAAGTGGGTAGAAACACAAGGAGCAAGTGTTGTTAGAAATGAAGACATCGAAACAAACCACCAGACGCCAGGGGACAGAGTGTTTGCGACAGCCGCCGGTTCTCATGTCTGGGACGACGGAGGGGTGTTGGCAAGGACTCCGTGTACACGGACAGCTGCCCTGCAAGGAAGCCCAGGGCAAGTCCCAAGCTCGAGTTTTGTCTTGTTTACCCCCACTTCGTAACGGCCCAGGGGAGCAGTTCGCAATGCAAAGCGCCAATGGCCCCTCAGTTAATTGAAGGCCAGGAAACATAAGTGTCTTCCCTGAAGCCACAAATGACAGGGGACCTTGGACGGCGAATCTTACTCTGAAATGTGCTTGTGAACGAAAAACCACTCTTACCATTAACCTCCGTCCACCAAGTCACCTGTCAGGGGAAGGTGACCCTCACACAGGAAGGTGACCCTCAGGTGGCTTGAGCTTGTTTATGAACTTAACAGTCAAGCACATTTTTCCTAATGAGCCTGATTTCCCACGGATTCTATTCTGTGGCCGTGATTGGGAATTAGGACATATTCTAAGAGGATCTGAAGGCCTTTCCCATCTGTCCCAACAGAATACAAGCCTGCAGGTCCAGCCTTTAGGGGGTCAGAAATGACTGCGAGGCAGCAGAAAGGGCACCCCCAGAACACAGTCCTCACTGAAGACTCTCAGGCGGGAGGAGTAAACTCAGATGGGGTACAACTCAGCTTTCTCACAAGGGCTAAAACGTGACGCCAGAAAACAATTCCCCGCTACCAGAGTTATCTTGAGATACCTCGATTCTAAAGGCTTTGCCAGCAGAGAGACAAGTAAAGCCCCTTTCACTCCCTGACGCGTACTAAAGTCTTAAACGGACTTCCGGCACCCAAGATGTGCCAGCGTGCAGCCGTTATTCCCCATAATCGAGAAGAACTGACCGAGGAATGTTAGGCTGGTACCCATCCATCTTTGCAGCCACCCACCCACCCATTTCTCCATTCGTCCGCCTGACCACCGGGCCGTGCACCTGTCCATCACCATGCCACACGGTCCCCTTCCCGGGCGGAGCAGACCACCCAGCTGCCATGTGCTAGGCAGAGGTCCTGAGGAACCCTCCTGGCATCCGAGGACGGCCTTATAAGCATCGAGCTCCTGCGAGAGAAATGAGCTTGGCCTGTTCCGGGGACAGAGCAACGACAATGAACGCGGAGCCTGAGGATGGCAAGGGACCGTAACGAGGACACTGGACAGAGTAGAAGGCGTGGCATGCGGGGCCTTGGAGGTCCGGGTGGCGTTCGCATCTCATTCCAAGGGCAAGTGGAAGCCACTGAATACTTCATGGAGTGGACGGCTGTCATCTGGTTCACATTCCAAGGCCAGCTCCCTGGCTGCTAGGAGCGGGCATGGAAGCGGGGCCAGCAGTAGGGGGCACCGAGGACGCCGCCTTGGTTCAGCTGCAGACCACGAAAAGCTGGACGGAGATGGGGACGTTCCCTGCATTTGGAGGCGGAGTCTTTAGAGAGGCGATTAAGGTAAAGTGAGGTAGGTCATCGGGACGGGCCCCAATCCCACACGACCGCTGTCTTTAGAAGAGGTGGTGATTAGGGCACCGACGTACACAGAGGCAGGACGCGGGGAGGGCCCGGGGAGAGGCCACTATCTGTCAGGCACGAGGACAAGGCCTGGGAGAAACCAGCCGGTCACATCTTCGTCTTGGGCCTCTGGCCTCTGGAACCGTCAGCAGGGGCAGACACGGTGGAGACGCACTCCTGCGGTCACCAGCACTGAGCCCGCAGCTCTTGGTGCAGAACCCGTGGCCACAGTGGGCGCTGGGGAGTCTTGGCAGACGGGTGCGGTGGGCTGCTCCCGGTGACGCGAACGCGGCCGATGTGTCCCCTCGCATCTGGGCTCGTTTTAGCTCGGCCGCCTGTCGTCCCCATAGCCCTGCCAGAAGCCACCTCGCCCTCCTCGTCCCTCCCGGACTCTGCAGCACCGTGTGACGTGTTACGAGAACTGTAACCACGTGTCACCACTGCCGTGCTGTCTGTTCCGCCTCCTGCACCGTGAGGTCCGCCGGGGGCAGCACCTGTGCCCTGTTTGTCTCTGCACAGAGCGGAGTATCTGCAGCCCCCCCAAAAACGTCCCCCGTTTGCATGAACAAACACTAGCTCTTCTCTTTCTGCCATCCCAAGAAATTACGACAAAGAACATTTTTCATTACTGCGCACGCTTATCAGATCAGCAACTTGTATTCGCTACAGACACAGCTACGTTTCTTGACACGTACGGAAAACATCGCGCATCTTTGAATCTCTGCATCTTAGGTGTGGTGAGCCAAAGACAGGCCTCTGCCTGAATTGCCATTTCTTTTACCCTCAGATCTAA